TGTTAAATCATTGTTATTATTTACTTAATCTAAAAAAATAATATCATTAATATCAAATTTTTATTTTATTTTATCAACAAAATAACTATTTATTGGTATATTAAAAGGATATTGTGTAATTAAGCTTAATTGTCGTTTAATGGTTAATGAAAAAGAATTAGGTAGTAGTTTTGATCAGTCGCGATTTTGGCGCGTGATAAACGATTTGATTTGGGAAGCCGTAGTGGGGATAGGCAAAGGCATGTGGAGGCCATGATAAGGGAAGGAAACAAGGTGGGACCTACCCGCCATTCTCCTAAACCAATGGTGTGTCTCGTGGTGTCCACGGGCGGCGGGTACTCTCAATTTTTACTCCTTTATTATTATTTTTCAAAAACAATATAATCTTTATTAAAAAAACATAAAAAAGTTAATATATTTATAAATAAATAAATAAATAAATAAATATATATATATATATATATATATATATAATATTCTATATAATCAGGCATTTGATAACCCCTCTTTATTTATTTATTTATTTATTTGTTCGTGAAATTGAAGTATATTAAAAATAAAAGATTTTGGAAAAAGGAGAAGCAAATAAAGGAAAAATGGTAAGAGAATATAGGTTGAATTTAAATCACGAGCCACATACGGGCAAATGGGACACTCTGATCGCTGATGACATCATCGAGACTGTTGCCTGCACAGCTTTGACTTGGCGTACACTCCGATCTGGTCGGCTGAGCTGTTCTTGTTTTTCTGGACATCTACTGCCACCTCACCCCTCCCTCTCCCTCTCCCTCTCCTTATTTTTTTCAAACAAAAAATTATATTCATTTTAGAATTCACATTGGATAGTGTTAGGAGGCAACATTATATAGCTAATGTGAAACTTTGATCGGATTTCGACGTAAATACTATCCATAAACTCGCTATGTTTCTTGCTTGTTTGGTGTGCGATAGTTAGCATCGAGAGGTGAATCCTTGTTTTCATCGACTAATCACCCGAAACAGATTTGACTCTTTAAAATTTAAAAAAAATGAGCTGTACAAAATGGATAGCGGTAGTGGATGAGCTTTTTCATGAAGTTCCATATAATATAATCTTTAGCTGGAACTCCAGGTTCATCGCCGCCTGGCCTGCAAAAAGTGCAAAAGGAAGAAAAAACCAATAATTATAAGCACTAGCAGGGCCAAGGGGGAGGTTCTTATGTAACGTATCATAATTAGTCACGAATAATGTTCTGTTTCTTTGTCTCTCTATCCTCTTTCCACTTCATCTTTCTTAATCAAGAAACAAAACACCAGCTTTTTGCATAATCAACCCAGAAAACATGGCATGAGTTTTAAGCCCTTTAAATCTGACGCTCCTTCGCTGCCATAACCGCCGTTGTGTTTCCTTTTGCCGCCTAAATTGTCAGCTAAAAGAAAACGAAAGATATTTATAATTTGAATACCCAACGGTAAATAATTCAACCTAGAGAGCTTAAATACTAATAACACTAAAGTTGTGTCTTTTTTAAGGATTCAGCTCTTCCTATTAACAACCCACGTTGATTAGGGAGGAGAATAAAACACTATATAAGTGTATGGAAACCTTGAAGCCCGAACGGAAAAGCTCAAAGTGGACAATATCTGCTAGCGATGGGTCAGAGTTGTTATAAATGGTATCAGAGCCAGACACCGAATGATGTACCAGCCTTGTCGCTGCTCCCCGAAGGGAGTAGACACGAGGGATGCTGGACCCAACAAGGAGTGAATTTGACAGGGGTTCTACATCGATTGGAGAGAAGGAACGAGTGCCACTAAGGACGCTGGCCTCTAAGGGTTGGATTGTGATGTCCCACATTGGTTGGGGAGGAGAACAAAAGAAAGGAACGAGTGCCAGTGATAACACTAAGTCTTAAAGGGGGTGGATTGTGATGTCCCACATTGGTTGGAGAGAAGAACAAACACAAAATACCCATTATAATGGTATGGAAACCTTTCCCTAGCAGACGATTTTGAGCATAAACTCTCCTAACTTATGGGAAAAGAACATTAGGTAGAAAATGTCTAAATAATCACACGAGATTTTGATGGTCATATTTGTTGCTATATTAACGAAAATGCCATTGCAAATCGCTATCCATCCAAAATTTCATGCTATCATTATTGAAACTATAAATTAGATGAATAAGCTTGGAATTTAATGTGGGGTCCAATCTTAATGAATTGATTCCAAGCAAATTCAAAGTGGGAGTTTTAGACGTCTGCATTCAGATAGATAGACCCCATTGATTTTGGGCGTTGGCTGCGGATCTCAGTCTGTGAAAGCTGCCGCAGTGTTCGTCAGTGGTCCATGCGAGCGTGAACTACACGCGCCGATGTCTCTTTGCTCCATACAGCCCTGAAAGCGACAACACTAATTCCAAACTGTCTGCATCGTATTCCTACCGCTTTCATGCAAGATTCTCGAATACGGTCCCTATCACGGGTCGGCCCGTACGTTGGGCTTCAGCCCGGCCCAGTACAACTCCAGTGGACTCTCTCATAGCCCCATTCTGGCCCAACTAAACAAATAAAATAATTTCCTCAAATTTGTTCAAGCATGCACTTTACCCCATGTATTTTCATTTATTTTGTGTGACATTTAAAATTAATCTCAAAGTTATAAATATGAAACCATTTTAATTTTAAATCGATTTATTTATTGATCTATCCATTTACTTTGTAATTTATTTGAGGATTATAAATAGAGAATTTTACCACCCTTTATTCAGGGTGGTTCTAGCAAATACCTTACTAACAATAACAACCTAAACACACTAAATGGTGTGCTAGCGAGGACGCTGAACTTTCAATGGGTGGACCGTGAGATCCCATATTTTTTGAAGAAGGCGAAGCATTCCTTATAAAGATATTAGAAACGTCTCCTTAGTGAACACATTTTAAATCTCGAGAAAAGTCCAAAACAAAAAAGTATTGGGCTGAGAGACTAACCTTTTGTTTGAATTCAAATAGGAGTTTGACTATTGGTGCTATAACCATTGCTTACCATACTTGTTGGTGGACAACTAGTGTGACAGTTGATGGTGGTGTGCTGTAAGTTGAGATAAGACAAGCTTGCCAAAGCATTTCACAAACGCCCTCATCATGTCCCTTCCCCAGTTAGTGTTATTTGCTCTGATATTTTTTGTTTTTCCCCTTGATGGTGTCCTTCATTTATGTTCCATATTTGCTGTCATCCCAACAGGCTGGTGGCATGGCTGTTGCTGTCTTAATATCATGCCACTTTTTTTGGTTTTAGTGAGCGCCATGTGTTTGTGTTAGAGCTGTAATAATCAAATTTTTCTGTAAAACTCCTCCATCCATGAGAATGAAAATAGATTGAATCAGACCAGACTATTAGTTAAGAGGGAGAGAGCATGAAAAATGCATGAAAAGATCACACGAGAGCGCATGTTTTAACTACTTGTGTTGTGTTGTGTTGTGTTCAGGTTGACGAAAACGTATGTTTCAACTACTCGTGTTGTGTTCTACTTGGATTGACGAGAATGTGTTTCAATTACTTGTGTTGTGGTGTGTATGTGTTCAGGTTAACGGGAACGTATGTTTCAATTACTTGTGTTGTATTTTACTCAAGTTGACCAGAACTTATGTTTTAAATAGTGTTGTGTTTGTGATGTTGCACGTTGGTTGGAGAGGAGTACAAAACACTGTTAGTGTGAAAACCTTCCCGTACTAGACACGTTTTAAAGTCTTGAGGGGAAGCCCAAAAGGGAAAGCCCAAAAAGGACAATATCTGCTAGCGGTGGTTTAAGGTGTTACAAATGGTATAAGAGCCAGACACCATATGATATGCCAGCTTTCTCGCTGTTCCCCAAAGTAGGTAGACATGAGACGGTGTGCCCAGTAAAGACGCTGGGCCCCAAAGAGGGCGGATTTGATGGGGTCCCACATCAATTAGAGAAAGGAACGAGTGTCAGTGAGGACGGTGGGCTCCGAATGGGGTGGATTGTGATATCCCATATTAGCTGAGGAGGAGAACAAAATTTTTATAAGAGTGTGAAAACCTTCCTTACCAAACGCGTTTTAAAGCCTTGAGGGGAAACCCGAAACAATGTGTTAGGGCTCAAGTTGATGTTAGGAGTTTTTTTAGGTCCTATTTCCTTATTTATTTATATTTTATTTCTATTGCCACATTAATCTTTTTTGAACTATTAGTTTGTTTATTTTTATTTATAATTTGACATAAATTAATGAAATTAATAACCAAAATATATAAGAAACAAAATTAAAAATGGTAATTTATTAAAACTTTATTTAAAGAACTCAATTAATTCAAATTATATTAATTTATTTTTGTTTAAAATAAAGTATTTTTATTTATAAAAGTGTGAAACCTTTTCTTTCCGACATTTTAAAATCATGAAATTAACTGCATTCGAGCTAAAGTTGACGATATTTGCTAGTTTAAACTTTTATAAATGATATAAGAGCTAAACGCGATGTGGTGTGCCGTTGGCTCCCTTGAATTGTTAGATCCGACTGTTGATAGTGGAACAAAACCTTTCTTATAATATTACAGAAACATTCACTAATTATTAAATTATTAAATTGTGAGATTGATGGGATAAATTGAACAATAGAGTGAGAAAGGTGGGAGGTTAAGAAACTTAGGCAGCAAGCTATAATGCAGGCATAGGAGTGAGAAAGGTGGCACTGAAAACAATTCACTTTTCGCGTCCATAACAAAAAAAGCCACTTTCACGGAGAAATTAGGCGTGCCAATGCGCAGCCGAAGGAGGTGGAGAAATGAATGAGAAATGGAATCAAGGGGAATCTTATTAAAACCCGTTCTGTTTTTACTTACCTTCTTCTAAAAACACTTCCAGACTCGTTAAACAGAGATTTTCTCACTATTTGACTGCAACTTTTATTCGATTCATCTTGTTCCCGCGGCAGCGAATAATATTGTAATCATGTCCCAAGCTTTGTGGGACGATGTTGATGTTGATAAAATGCAAGTGCCATTCTGCTGCTTTCTACTGTTGCATTGCTATATTCGACATTTTATTTGATTTCATTTCATTTCATTTATTCTTCTCTATTGTTCTTCATTGAATCCGTAGTTTGAAGAGCATAAAATTTTGCTTTGATTTGATTTGATTTTCTTGGCGGGGTTTGTTTACTACTGATTTATTTGTTCTTCTTGCCGTTCGGATGTCGTATTATGCTTCATCTGCTCTATGTTTTTCTTTTTCGCCCTTTGATTCGTGTTCCCTTTCGATCATAGTGTTTTTTTTTTGGGAGAAGGAACTGATATTGCCCATTTTGAAATGGGCACTTCGCCCATTTTTTTGCTTTCCCCCCTTTCTTTGAGGTGATGGGATTCGAATCGAGAGGATTTGTTGGCATCTTGAGCGCTCGATTTCCACCTGGTTTTGCTCTGTTCTTGAAGTCTGTGCCCTCGTCGCTTTTGAGGGACAACTTCTGTTGTTTGTTTATTTGTTGAACTGGTGGGTACTGTGGGGCTTTATTGGTTCCTAGGCGTCTGTACACTTTTATTTGCCCACTCTTTTCCATGTCAAACAGTACCCGACACCTTCAATCCTGCTGTTTGAGATTAAGTTACTGTTTCTTATCAGTGATCGTGTGGAAATATTAATTTAGAAATCTTTAGTATTATAAATTTATATTTTACTGGCAATCGATCAGAGGATGAGTTCTTAAGATGAGAGACAAACAACCTGACAGTGCTATTATATATATTTTTTTAATCTCGTACGTCTGCCAGGATTTTTAACTTATTGGAATGTGTTTTTCTTGATCTTTTTTCATCGGTTTGAATGGGTTTATTCTTGTTCTTTTGTATGTAGGCTGGATGCTTATATCTATGATTATCTCATGAAAAGAAAACTATATGCTTCTGCAAGGTCTTTTCTGGATGAAGGGAAACTTTTTGTGGATCCAGTGGGTACGAATGTGTAATGGATCACTGTAGTATTTACTAACTTTCATGTATCCACAACTAAATTTGTCTTCTCTTTTGAATCTTATTACTCAGCTTTTGATGCGCCTGGTGGTTTCCTATTGGAATGGTGGTCTGTGTTTTGGGACATTTTTATTGCCCGCATAAATCCACAGCACTCAGAAGCTGCTGCATCTTACATCAAGGTTCATGTTCTTTTGAGATTTTAGCTGAATTATTTTCCGCCATACTGTTTGTAACAGCCCAAGCCTACCGCTAACAGTTATTGTCCCTTTCGGATATCCCTTCGAGGTTTTTAAAATGCGTCTACTAGGGAGAGTTTTCCACACCTTTATAAAGAATGTTTTGTTCTCCTTTTCATTCGATGTGGGATCTCATGATCCACCATTTTGAGGCCTAACGTTCTCGTTGGCACTCGTTCCATCAATGTGGGATCCCTCAATCCACCCTCCTTCGGGGCCCAGCGTCCTTGCTGACACACCTCATGTCCACCCCTTTGAGGCTCAGCTTCCTCTCTGGCATATTGTCCAGTGTCTGGCTCTGATACCATTTGTAACAACTCAAGCCTACCGCTAGCAGATATTATCCTCTTTCGGGCTTCCCCTCAAGATTTTTAAAACGTGTCTGCTAGGTAGAGGTTTCCACACTCTTATAAAAAAATGTTTCGTTCCTCTCCAACTGATGTGGATCTCACATGTTCTATATTATAGAGGAAGAATGCTGCCCTGGGCGAAACCAGTGAACTAAGTTGTTATGATGTCAAATCCCTTATCACATGCATCAAATATCTTAATGCCAATAATAAGTTGTGTAAAACGTGATATTAGATAATTATTTCTTGAAATATTGATTTTGTTTTGGATTTGATAGTCTCAGTTAACGAAGGAAGGAGATTTGCAGCTACAACAACAATATCATTTGCAGAATTCTCAGCAGAGTACTTCAACCGCTAATAGGCTTGTTATGAACAATTCATTCAATATACAGAACCCTTCAGTAGCAAATAAAATGGCTTCAAAAATGTCTGTGGAGAATTCTTCTACACTTCCTATTGAAAGGGATGCACTTGCCAATGTGCTCCCAAAGGTATTCTTGAAGATCTCACTCAATGTAATTTAATTATAGCCTTTTTCATTGTTGGTATTTAAGTCAATATTCATGCAGAAAAGATTCCTCAAACATGTAAGCCAGCCTCCAGCCTCAATGTTTGGAACAGCTGCCTTGAATGCTCAACCTCTGAGGTGTCTCTCATCACATTTTGAGTCCTTCTATGTTTGTTTATTCTTACAGGTATACTTACTACTTATAAATGTTTCATGTGTAATGTACTTGAACATTGGATTTCTAGCCAGAGCCGAACAGCGGGGGACAATTCAAATAGTATTGATACTCAATATCATAGCCAACAGCTTCCAGGATCCAAGGTTGTTATCACTAAACAACGAAAATATGTTGTTTTCTCATATTTTGTGATGTAACTTTCTATCATGCCTCCTGTATGAAACAGAATTTGAAAGGTGAGATGAAGTCAATTATGAACTCCAGAGTTGGCATGACGGAAGGAATTGCTGGTACTCCTTTTTTGAACAATATATGTCTATATATACATATTGGCATATTTTTACATCATTCAACATATACGACTCAGGATTTATGTTAGAAAGTGGCTTTAATCATCAGAAAAAGGAAGATTACGAAGCCTTTAACTAATAATATTTTTTAGAATTATGATAGTGTTTAACTAATTCACTATGATGGTTCTTTCAGAATCAAATCAGGGCACTAGTCGTTTGCCTTTGAAAGGATGGCCTTCAACTGTAAGTATTCAAATTCGATGCTCGAGAACTACATGAATTCTCCTTGTATCGCTTGTCGTACTCTTTGTTTTTATAATTTAAAGAACCTATATAAATGTTGATTGTAGAATGTAAGCGGGAAAAAAATCAGTATTCATGGGAAAACCACTTTGATTTTACCTCTTTTAGGGATTGGATCCTCTAAGCTTGGGGCATCTGCAACAACCCAAGTCATTCATCCAATTACCACATACTTCCAATCGATTTCAGCTGGAGCATCCACTGATGTTTCAGGCACCTCAAAGCTTGGAAGGAGTACCTTCTGCCAATGTGGCATGTATAAGACCGGGAGTGCCTTTAAGTCAAAATCTGAATACAGGGAAGGATAGCCAATTATGTTTTATCGGTGTGTCTGATGGCGATTCACTGGCACCAGATTGTCATCCTGTTTTGCCTCATGTAAGTGCAAATTTGCTGATCAAGGTGTCTTTTTTTGATGATATTTATAATAACCTAGCCAATGCTTCAAAACTAAAAAGAATTAGTTCGGTCAATGTTTCTCAAATATGGCTGCAAAGATTTGAAAATTGTTCATGGGGAGTATAAAGTATGGAAATTGATAATAGAGGAGATTTTTTCATTTGAGTCTTAAGTTTTTTCTACTCAGCCGCCTGAAATCATATGGTTGCAGATCCAAGTTTTTTCTCGTTAATTCTACTGATGAATCTACTTAGCGTAAACAAATGAAAAGAGAACATTAATAATCAATTTGGTAGTTAAATAGTGAGAGTTAACACATGGCAGGCTGATATGGATTGTCTCATGGATGATGGACCATCAGATTATGTGGAGTCTTTCCTATCTCCTATGGTATCAGACGAGAGAGATAATGCAGGTATGGTATCTGACGCTACCAAAGCTATGATGAACTCTTCTAAGAATAGCCGCAGATTATCTTATCCAACCCTTTCTTGTTAACTGAAGGCCCTGCACTGAAGGAAATTCGTGCAGTTTCTGCAAGTACAAGTAAAGTTGAATGCTGCTGCTTCTCATCTGATGGAAAACTACTTGCTAGTGGTGGGCATGACAAAAAGGTTAAATATATTAGTATTAAGTGGGTTATCAAAATTATAAGATCTTTTACGGGTCAAACTTTTAATTTTTTTTGATGATTTATTGAGTGTGCTTTTAACCGCCCAAGCCCACCGCTAGCAGATATTGTCCTCTTTGAGCTTTTTCTTTTGGGCTTCCCCTCAAGGTTTTTAAAACGTATATGCTAGGGAGAGGTTTCCACGCCCTTTGTAAATGGTGTTTTGTTCTCCTCCCTAACCGATGTGGGATCTCACAATCCACCCCTTTTAGCACTCGTTCCCTTCTTAAGTTGATGTGGGACCTCCCCTTCCACCCCCTTCGGGGCTCAGCATCCTTGCTTTAGCACATCGCCTCGTATCCACCCCCTTTGGGGCTCAGCCTCCTCATTGGCACATCGCCCGGTGTCTGACTCTGATACCATTTGTCCCAAGCCCATCACTAGCAGTTATTACCCTCTTTGGGCTTTCCCTTTCGGACTTCCCCTCAATGTTTTTAAAACACGTCTGCTAGGGAGAGGTTTCCACACCGTTATAAATGGTGTTTCATTCTCCTCCCCAACCAATGTGAGATCTCACAATGCTACTTTGTTGATATATGGAAGTATGTATGGTTAGTTTCTAGGATATTTCTCAACAATTTTATGGTGCAGGCTACAGTGTGGTGCACAAAGTCCTTCAAAGTGAGGTCTACACTTGATGAACATTCGCAATGGATAACTGATGTTTGCTTTAGTCCAAGAACATTAAAGATTGCAACATCTTCAAGTGACGGGACTGTCAAGGTTTGGGATGTTGATAATGTAAGTGAACCAGCTTTTTTCATTATATGGGCTTAATCCATTATATCTTGTTATTGTATTGTTATAGTCTGACAACTGCCTACAATATTCTAAAGTTTTAAATACAGAACAAGAATTTTTCTTTTGTAAGCTTTCAAGGATAATGGCTCTTTCTACTTGGCTTTGGGACAATCTTTGATAACTAAATAATGTACACATGCACAAACAGAATCTGTTGCACAAAATTTTGCTGATTGGAAGTTCCACGTTCACTAATTAAGAGAATGATTTTGGGTTATAAATAAGGAATACATCTCCATTGGTATGAGGTTTTTTGGGTAAACCAAAAGCAAAGCCATGAGAGCTTATGCTCAAAGTGGTCAATATCATACCATTGTGGAGGTTCGTGGTTTCTAACCGGGCATGGGGTTATGTTTGTGATTCACCAAACTTCCAACTACTCTTAATGATGAAAATATAAATACATTTTACAGCATGGCCAATCACTTCGGACTTTTACTGGACATTCTACTGGAGTCACATCATTGGACTTTCATCCTAGTAAACATGATCTCATTTGTTCTTCTGATATTAGTAGCGAGATTAGGTACTGGAGCGTTAAAAGTGGTAGCTGTGTTGGCATTTTTAAGGTATAAATTCAAACTCATACTTTGATTTCTTCCTATTAAATTGTTCATTGCATTCATTTATAAAAACATCACCTTCTGCATGTTTGACAACTAAATCAGGGTGGTGCGACAAAGTTAAGGTTTCAACCTAATAATGGAAGAATGCTTGCTGCAGCAATGGGAAATGTTGTTTCCATAATTGACATAGAAACCCAAGTTTGCAGGCTTAAATTACAGGTTTGTTGATGTAAAGTTCACTTTGATTGAGTTTCATATAGACTTGTAAATCAAATTTTAGTAGATATTGTCCTCGTTGGGCTTTGTCTTTTGGATTTCCTCCCAAAGTTTTTAAAACGTGTTTGCTAGGGAGAAGTTTCCACACCCTTATAAAGAATGCGTCGTTCCTCTCTCCAACCGATGTGGGATCTCACAATCCACTCCCTTTGGGAGTCCAGCGTCATTGCTGGCAAACTGCAAAGTGTCTTGCTCTAATACCATCTGTAACAATCAAAACCCACCACTACCAGATATTATCCTCTTTGAACTTTTCCTTTTGCGCTTCCCTTCAAGGTTTTTAAAACGCGTCTTATAGGAAGAAGTTTCCACACCCTCATAAATAATGTTTTGTTCCCTCTTCAACCTATGTGGGATCTCACCATTAGTAATAACTAAGTTCCATGTGGGATCTCACCATTAGTAACAACTAAGTTCCGCTTTTCCTTAACAAAATGAGATTTTATAAAAAGAAAAGTTTTCTATAGGTAACCTTGTTCATTCATTGATTGTTTTGGATGATCTGGAAAGTATTGAAATGAGTATTTCCTATTTTGTTTTCACTTACGGCCATCCTCCTTGCTAGAGGGAGTAACAAGGATATGCATAATATATCTTCAAGTCATCATTTATTAAACCTTTGATAGAAAGTGTAGAGGGAGCAAATTATCAAGTATGCTGTGTAAATGGACTCTTTAAGTGAGTATAATTTAGTGGTGATAGTAAGTAGCTGCTAACATACCATCCATGCGACCTCTCCTTGAAACTTTCTGGTTTGCCATTTCAGGGTCACAAAAACCAAATTCATTCTTTGTGCTGGGATCCTTCTGGTGAATATCTAGCATCTACAAGTGACGATCAAACTAAAGTATGGAAATTTGGCTCTGGCAGCAAAGGAGACTGCATTCATGAGTTGAACTGCAATGGAAACTCATTTTATGCCTGCGTTTTTCATCCCACCGATACGTCTCTTTTGATCATTGGCTCTCATGAGGTTAGTGGCTGCTATTCATTCACATCCTATTTTGTTAGCTCTTCTGTGAAAATTTGGAAATTTCCTCTGGAAGCAACTAGTATACCATCGTCCTTACAAGCCACTCTAAGAACTTGTTAGGAATCACGAACTTCCACAATGGTATGATATTGTCTCACTTTGAGCATAAGCTCTCATGGCTTTCCTTTTGGTTTCCCCAAAAAGCTTCATACCAATGGAGATAGTCTTCTTTGCTTATAAATCCATGATCAACAGTTGATCCTAGGTTGATACAAGAATGCTGCATCCCTTGAGCCTAAGCTGAGCCTTCAATGTTTCAGTGTTTAAGTTCTATAGCTTTTATGCATTGTTGCAATTTACTAATCCATCTGGACAAGTAGAAACATGTCATGATGTCATTATAAGATAACTTGACAGATGCTCTGATTGGATAATATCATTTGATATAAATCCAGTTTCTGAGATTATTTAGCATCAAAGTTGTAACATTGAGATTGTTCTTAAATGAATTGTTGTTTTCCAGTCACTGAAGCTTTGGGACATGACAGAAAACAAGACAAGAACGACACTGCGTGCTCACGACAAGCTGGTATCAGCCTTGGCAGCATCAAATGTTTCTGGTTTAGTTGCTTCAGCGAGTCACGACAACTGCGTCAAGCTGTGGCAGTAACGAAATCTACGAGCTCTCTTCTCCACTCCAACCAAATTACTATCATAAGATCGTATGTTGAGTGTCGATATCCATACATCGACGTCTTTTTTGCATGTAGATGGTGACGAACTAAAGCCAAAAGTTGTGTCTATTGATATTTTCTTGGGCGTGTACTGTAAAAAGGAAAGAAAAAACAAATATCCAGACACAGCTTCATAGCAAACTCTTGGTTGTGTGTGCTTTTGAAACGGTCAACACAATCTGTTGCAAGTCAATATATCCATTGCCAGCCTCAAATCTCTGATGTTATTGGTTGTTAATATAAAACTATTTTATAATGTTTTCTCTTAATAGGAAATTTTCATTATATTAAATACAATAAATTTTATATTTTAAAAATTTATAAAGTATATTTGCTAAATTAATTAATAAAGTTTAGCTTCTCAATTAATAAAAATATTCCTAAATTCAAAGTTGAAAGATATTTTTATTAATTTATTATTAATTTAATCGAGCATATATTTAAATTTGCTTAACAAGAATTGACCTATATTATTTTGTAATGTACTCAAGAACGCTAAAACAATATTGAAGTGTGATCTTAAAAAAATAGATTCAAAAGCTAAAACAAATTAGAAACTCCGTAAATTGGATTATATGGTAAATTTGTTTGAGAGGATTGTGGATTTGCAATGGCGGGGATCCAATGTGGATGACACGGTACGGTCTGCCCGATTTAAATAAGTAATTAGGAATTAGGATCTAACCTCAAACTTCTACCGCCTCGAATTACCGATATCAGGCCGGTCAGTGAAGGGGGGCAAGTGCACATTCCAGCGCTGAGGCGATGGCTGATGCTTCGGTCGCTGTGCTTGAAACATTACGAGTGCGAGGATGGACTTTCGGCGATTTGGATGAAGTTAGGGGTGTAATCATGATCGGTAGCGCCTTGGCCGATGATCCGACTTTGGTCGTTGATTCGGTGGAGTCGGAGCTCATAAACATGGACCTTAGGTCCATTGGAGGCAAGTCCTTGCCTGACCTTTCTCTTCTTCGCAAGTCTTCTCGTGTTCTTGGCCCTCTGGTTCTCCAGGTGAATTGTAGTCTCTTATGGTTGTCAGGTGTTTCATAGTTGCTGGAAAAAAGTTCGGATAAAGAATCATTAAGTTCATATATCTATCCTTTGTTGTTTGTTGACGCAGTGAATGAAGTTAATTTTATATTTGTTCTTTGATTGGAGTTCTTTATTTCATATTCCCACTATTTTTTGCGGAAACTAGAAGCGCGGGGTAGCTATTCTTTGTCTTAGTCGCTTTCTGATCAACATTATTTCATCAATGATTTACTAGTAGATGATTTCAGCTGTTTTAGCAGATATCATCAGTAAGAGACATATCGCGAAGTAGCCTAGACGGTATGACGAAGGCTTCTAATGATCGGCGTCTCCTACGGTTCGGTCTCACTGATGGACACACTGAAATTACTGCTATAGAGTACTCTCATATACCATCTTTTCCTGATGACATTCCTCCTGGCACCAAGGTATTCCGGATAATTTCTCCTTGCATGTCTTTCCAGCTACTCTATTTTGAAGAGTTAAAGTTCTTGATCTTTTTAAAGTACAAGTTCTTGATAGAAGTTGATTGTCCTAATTAAATCTTTCTTTAAGCTATTAATAAATTTTATAGTATGTGGCTACCCTATGTTATGTAATTCTTTATATGATATATAAATCCTCTGGCCATATGGCAAGTTGCTGCACGTAGTTCAGAATGATAGCTAATTATCATTTATCAGCGAGCACAGACAGATAGTTCTAGCCTCTTTTGAGCTGCAGTGACTGTGAACACGTAAAATTGGGAAAACTATACTTGCATCTGGCTGATTATGTGTTACTTTTGAGCTCTTCTCTACGGGAAATCATTTAATTGGATACCAACTGTTTTGGACTGCAACTTTTAGATTTGAATGCAGCTCGCAAGAAACTGTAAAAAGATTATGGATGGCTGCACGCTGCAGCATTTCTTTGCTTTCTCTTTTCCTTTTAGAACATGTTTGATGCGGGAATGCACCCTCTTTGACTGCTTATCCAATATATTTCTTCTGGAAAGTGGCCTCTGGGTGCTGGAATCTGAAGTTCAGATGATGCCTTAATGAGAGGGAGGAGGGAGGGTACCTTAATTTATTCCAAGGAGTATGTAGCTTCCAACCTTTTTTGCGAAGTGGACTTCCCCATGTAAAACACCTTTGCAAAAGGAAATGAGAAACATGTGGCTCTGGATCATAAAATCTCAAGTGAACTAATGAAATCGAAGAATTTCATGTCCCAAAGGGCATATCCCTACTATTTCTTATCCTTCTGCTTTCTGATGGCAGGTTCGTCTGGAAACTAAAGCTCCTGTGTATAGTGGAATATTATGTTTAAGTTCAAAGGGGTTAACAGTACTTGGAGGTGTAGTTCCAACACTTTATGAAGAATGGAAAATGAACCAGAAATACTCTGGTTTATCCCGTGCATCCATAAGGTTATCACAGGGAGGAGATGTTGATGGTCCACCTCCATTTGAGAAGTTCCAAGTTGGGGCGCCTTCTCAAAAATTTAGTCCGAAAGGAAAATCTTCATGTCAGTATTTTGGGCTATGTACTTGTCTTCCTGTATTTTTTGTATCTCTGTTGGTTGGCTACTTGCTACTGTTGCTTAAATTATTGCTTTTGTCCTTTATTCAATAATTTTATGATTAAGTGGCAAAATTTGGGAGGGATCATTGTGAACCATTACGCTTGTTAGTTATTATATATTTACACGGTAGACTTTACAGAGCCACATGGTTAACTGATGGTTAATGTTGTGAAACGAAAAAAAAAAGTTTAAATGCTCGATGGAAATTTTTAATCAAGATTCATGCAACTGGGTCTTGAAGTTATAAGTAGTTCCTCACTTCTAAATAAATTAGCAGAATAATTGTAAAATATACTTTTATTGCTTGTTCATTTACATGATGGAATTCTTTTCCCCATGTACTTTTTGTGGTTGCTTATTCGGTGATAAGTTTTATCTCTTGTTTCTTTTTTTTTTTGTGTGTGTGTGTGTGTGTGTGTATGTAAAGTCTCATTGAATCAACATTTGGAAGGAGAACTGTTCATGGCCATGTGTTGCAGACTCCAATACGTTATTTAATGTGTGTGGGGATGTTGATAAGTTTGTACGCTGTTACAGATCAACCAGAGTCGTCCTCAAAGAGCAATAGGCCTTCTTCTGATTCAGGAAATATTGAAGGTAAATCGACTACAGAGCAACAAAGTGTGGATGCAAAAGCTCCCAATTCTGTCAATTCTGCTTCCCATGTAGAAAAGGTCGAAGAAAAACCTAGCAGCTCGGAAACAAGACCAAGGGAAGGTAATATATCTCTTTAGATCTATGCAATTATCACTGTTATGCCAGATGTTTCAACCATGGCCTAGGTAAAGAATATTTTCAGCATGGTGTTTTCTCCTGGATACCCCAAGTAGTGAATGAATTAAAATTCTATGTTCATGGATATTGTTTTAGAAACGCAAACCAATAACTTAACAGTGAAATCCATTTAGAGATCCTTCCATCTCATAGTTTTGGTAATTTTATTTACAGAAGTGCAAATTGTACCCTTAGTTTACTAATAATGTATGTTCTTTAGTAATTATTAATTATAATACAGCATCTTATGTTTCTTCTAGTTGTGGAAGCTGTTCCTGTACAAAATCAGGCTGCCTCTCAGAAACTACTCCACAAAATGAGTCAGCAAGATGGAAACCGAAGGCATTTTGGTAATAGGAACCATAGGGGGAAGGGTAGAATGGAAGATCCGGAGGTCTATACTCTAGAAGAATATGAAAGGAGAAAATCTGGAATGAGTCAATTACCAAAAGAGACATCTTCCCATACGAATCAGGATGAGGAACTTGCACGGAGGCTACAAATTCAATTTGATTTGGAAGAATCTCATGTTAGCATCAATCTGTTTTCCCATGCATATGCTTCTGATATAACATCTTTCTATTTTTCACGTTATATGCTTGATACTGGCTGCAACTTGTCTAGGTACAACAAGAGAGTGCAAGCAGAACAAACGCAGAACATATAAGAATGAGCATGTTCAACTACGAAAGAGATAGCTATACACCACATGGTGGTGGGAGAGGAAGGGGAGGAGGACGTGGGAGAAGAGGAAGGGGACGGGGAAGAGGCAGGTATTATTGAATGGTTACATCTTCACCTTGCGTACTAATGTTTCATCTAAATTTCTTCATGTTTTATGATGAATTCGCAAGTTCCAAGTTTGGCTCTAACTTGTTTCGAGTAATTTGTTACAAGTTTTTGCTTAGGTTCAGTGGATTGGTGCATAGCCATACTCTGGTTAATTTAGTTGGATTATACGCTACTTGGATTCTTACTTAGCAATGATAGTTCAATTGGTGAAGCTCAAATGACGTAGAATATCATTTTGGATTTGAATTTCCCCCGCTTTATTTTTATTTCTGTGGTACGTTTAAAATATATCTATAATACTTTTAAAAGTTGCAATATTACTTGACTTTGACTTTTTAAGAGTGTCTCAAAACTACATTTGGAGTAGAAATCTTTTAAAATTTATCCCATCGAATATGTTCTCACTTGATATAGGTCTCAATTTCTATTTTATATTTTAAATGATTTTAGATAGTTCTAAAGAAATTATGTAAACTCATTTGGATATTCTTTTGGGAAAGCATCTCTTCACATTTTTAAAATAAAAAGTTAAGGAAACATGTTCCAATAATCATTTTTGAATATATTTTTATTTTAATTCATTCTTTTGGTAAGAATAAAAGTGATTCTTTTCAAGCTATAATCTTTAACATTAAACCCAACGATATGAATTGATGTGCATTCCTTAGTGTTTAATTCTTCCTACCTCTTGATGACTCTTGGAACAATTTTGAAGTTATAAAAACAATGGAAAATGAGGTTAAAAGTTTGTAGTAGTTAATTATGGGTGATTTAAATTTTTAAAGGGTCAATTCTTTATTTAAAATTTATATATTTTGTGACAAATTTTATAACGTCTAAACGGACAATAATTAAATAATAATGTTCCATCCATAATGTTCCATCTCGTGAATTAAAAGAAAAAGAGTTAGGGAAAGGAAAATGAGAGAAGTCGAAAAGATAAGACTTCTACCTAACCGTTTGGTATTGAACACGTTCTCCTCATATTTTTTTTAAAGGTTATATTAATAAAAATCAATAATATTTTTCAATTTTCAATAAAAGTAAAAAATACCATTAATTTTTTTTTAGAAAAGTGAAAAAAGTTAATATTTTATTTAAAAAATACAAATTTTAAATATATCTTGAAAATACCATTTAATTTTAAAAAATGAGTTTTCAAAAATTTCATTAATACCATTAAGAATTTTAAAAATCATCCATCAATACATTTCAAAAATTTGAACTTTTAAAATAAATTTATTACTCATTAAAGTTTTTGAAATTAAAATTTAAAAGTTTAGAAATGATTTAGGATAGGTATAAAATAGTTTTTGTATATATATTAGCGGTAAGTTTTTTTTTTATAAAGGTGGAAGGATGTAATTTTCTTAGGAATTTTTTAAATATGATACTAATGTATTTTAAATTTTTTATTTAAATCTATTATTATAAAATTTAATAGGATTTTTATTAATTTATTCATTTTAAAATTTCAGTCCATGTCCCGAAAGTCCCCAATGGCGTGGGATGTTGGACCTTGGAACCACGTTCTAAAGCTTTCATTTCTTTATTTAGACGAACCAGATAATTGGTGTCTATTGTGAATTTCAAAGTTTGTATTCCAATTGCAGTTCGATTTGACAGTCGCAAACGCTCTCTATCAAGGAGAAGCTCAGCGACTTGAAGATCAGAATGGAGCCCAATCTGATTCAGCTATCGGTCGCAGTGATAATCTCATCCATTATCGCTATCGGAGCATACCGAAGAAAGTCGTTGAACCTCTCTGGAGCTCTTGCGGGCTTTATTGTCATGTCAACTCATTTTGCGATCAGCTATAGGTTTGCTAGTTTACTGTACTTGATTGGTTATGGGAAGCCGAATCTGTTATTGTTTGGTTGCTGATTCCGAGCTTGTGGTTTTTAGATTAATTTTCCAATTTGATTGTGAATTTCCGACTTCTCTGAACTGTAATTTGATGTGGCTTGGGCTATTTTGATCTTGACTGCTGAATTGATGTTGTCGCGAATCCAATCTTTGAAGGTACGGTGCCGTGCTCCTTGTATTCTTTGCCACTTCTTCTAAGCTTACCAAGGTTGGGGCAGAGAAGAAACGAGTCGTTGAAGCTGATTTTAAGGAAGGTGGTCAAAGGAATTGGTAATTCTACTTCCTCTACTTCAAGATATTCACCTCTTAACTTATAATTTGTAGTTTTAGTTGGCTGAAAGTGCTAATTGAAAATTTTGCGGGAAATTACTGAAATTTGTGTTTTAGCTGGTGCCTTGATTCTGTTTCTTCAATCCCAGAGCTTGAAGTTAAAAACTGAAATGTATTTTTTGTTTCTTCTCCTTATTTAGCTCGTCCAAGGATTGATATATTTTGCACTTAAGTTGCATACTTGGGGGGTTCTACTATAAAGCTGTTGGTCTAATTTGAAGGGTCAGGCCCATTAAACTTTTACATGGTCAACATGTGTAAATTTTTTTGAAAAATGTAAGCCCCGATATATGATTCAATTCAATACTGAATGTAGTCAATTATATCTTCACAAACTCATATCATAGTGAATAAATAAGAACTTCTGCTTCTCCTTGTTTGGTGACAAACCATTTGTCAAAATGGTATCAAATGGTTCAGAATTGCTGAACTTAAGTTTCTTCCACAATTGACATGGCTAAATTAACCTGTCATGCATGCTGCTTAGAACGACACTTCGAGAAGAGATAAAAGAAAAGTGTAACCGTGTTCAAGTCAAAGATGAAGATCGACAGAACAGCATATCATTTTGTCATGCATAAAAGTGGCATGGTGGTTGTTTGTAATTAGATATGCCAGTACTATCCTACCAAAGTTTGCAACACCATTGATGTTCTGTTATTACTCCTTTTCAGGATTCAAGTTCTTTTTAATAGTGGTATTGCTACCGTCCTGGCTGTGCTTATTTGGAAAATTACAGGATGGCAAGATAAATGCCTGGACTCTAAAGACTCAGGTATTGTCACTGCTCTCATTGGGGGCATTCTTGGGCACTACTCCTGCTGCAATGGGGACACATGGTCTTCTGAGCTTGGAATTCTTAGTGATGCAACACCTCGATTAATCACAACCTTCAAGGTGGTCAATTCATTTCGATATTTCTTGATTCTAACATTTTCTCTCTCATTTCTTAAACCATTTGGTCTCTTCCTCCTCTTGTACTGTTGTTCTTTACTGATTGGACACAAAACCTTTCTGGTCTATTTTAGCCACTGCACATCTCAGGCTTAAGCCGTTGGGGAACCATATTATTTGAGCTCACATTTTTCTTACATATCGAATTTGAAATGGCAAGCCAAATTTCTGCTTTCTGATTGCAAATTTCTTTTGGTTTCAAAATATGTCAATATTTCAAGCTAGGGTTTAGTTTTCCTTTGTTGATTTGGCACTTGGTGCATGTTACGCTGGTCTTTATCAGCTCCATGAACTCATATCCAATGGACGAATAATTGTGGTTGATTTGGATGTTGTCTCATTCTGGATGCAGCCTGTTCGTAAGGGCACCAATGGCGCAGTAACAAAAGCAGGACTCCTTGCAGCTACTGCTGCAGGTGCTGTCATAGGACTGACGTTTGTTCTCCTTGGATTTTTCACTGCAAAATGTGCTGATGGCACAGCACTGAAACAGCTATTGGTAATTCCCCTAGCAGCCGTGGCTGGACTTTGTGGAAGTGTCATAGACTCTCTATTGGGAGCAACACTGCAATTTAGTGGATTCTGCACGGTTCGTAATAAGGTAAGCTACTTCATTTTCAGATTATATCTTTAAAATGTATTCCCATTGCCCTCATCCGTAATTTATATGCCCTTTGAATGACTGATTCTGTTTTGCCAAACTAAAATAACAGAATTACAATCGTAGGGGGATTGCCATACATAGATGAAAGAAATATTGTTGTATTTGAGTGAAAAGTACAGTCTTATGTAAATAAATAAAAACCATAAAGTTACAAGGAGACCAATTAACCAGCTAACCAATTAACTATTGAAATAGCAAACATTGATGATGATGGTTATTTGACGCTCAAGTAAGTGTTGGAGGTTAAATTGCTACATCTAATTTGTTGTTTAATGTCAAAATATTCCAAATGAATTGAAATATCAAAATAGATCGATGTTTCATTTACAAATATACAGTATTCTTTCTTTCTTTCTTTTAATTTTGGGTTGAGCTGATAGCAAGTATCTAATAGTTCTGCTAGATCTGTATAGTTCAAAGTTGTTCTTCTATGAGAGTTAGTCATTTTATCCTACTTAGAAAATCGTTGTAGTATGCTAGCAACCCGTGCAAAACGAATAATTGCCTTAAGGTCAACGCTTTTGAAGCATGCCTCGATTACCAATCATCAAATTTTTCTCTCTTCAAGTTTCATTTGTTTGATGTTGTTGTTGTCGTCAATCCGGTCATCTACGACCACTGAACATTTTGATCTGCTGATCTGATTTATGTTGTTCTTTTTTAAAAAAATTAATTACTGTGTTTGTAGTGTAATCTATTTGCTAGTGTGCGGCAGTTTCTATACACAGTCTATTTCCCCTAACAGCAATGAGTTATCTGCTGTGCAGGTCGTAGGAAAACCAGGACCAACTGTCAAAAAGATATCAGGCCTCAACATTCTTGATAACAATGCTGTGAACCTCGTGTCGGTATTATTAACCTCAATGCTTACTTCGATTGCCTGCATTTACATATTTTGAACGATATCTGCCTTGTAAGATAAAGCTAGAGGCATGTTAGACAGTATTCATTATGAAATAAAGTTCTCGGGACAGGCAGGATTTCTTAATACAATCAACTTGGATTTGCATACGGTTGTCATATGTTCCTATGCTCATTTTGTGTCACGAAGAAGGAAAACTCTTCCATTACTTCATAAAGACTAACGCCTAAGGTCTGTTTTCCAATCCCAAGTCCTCCCGTCTTCACATGGAAGGTGAAAATTGTTAGGAATCACGACCCTCCACAATGGTATGATATTGTCTACTTTGAGCATAAGCTCTCATGGGCTTGCTTTTAGCTTCCTCAAAAGACCTCATACCAATGGAGATGTATTCCTTACTTATAAGCCTATGATCATTCCCTAAATTAGTTAACATGGGACTCCCAACAATCCTCAACAAAAATACGATCATCAGACCAATGAGCTACCTGTGGAAGGCACCTCTTGTCGAGATTAACCGACTTGGGCTTGTTCTAATATCTAAACTAGAGGAGATTATATTAGTATCTAAACTTCTATCTAGCCCTCTAGCTCCTCTTCTCCGTCTCCGTAGTCAGTTGGATTGCCATTGAGAGAATTGATTAGTCTATACAAAGGCTAACACCCTAACACCCGGTTGACATAATTAGTGAATAAAATACTAATTATCAACCATTTGATCATCCACAATTCTTGAACTAAAAAATCTAGGAAAGATTTGAGTGATAGGTAACTTTGCATTTATGGGTTAATCAAATTTAGACTAGATAAATCAGTTAGTTAGTAATTGGTTTTACTCGATCTATATATCATTGGCCATTTTCATAGCTTTTTCTGGGCAATTTTTTGTACTTCATTTCTTAAATCTAAACAATCTCAAAAGTACTTTACTATTAGAGAACTTAGAAGTTCGATCCTTTTCTATAAGACATTAATTTGATCATCATTTATGACCCAACGAAAACGAGGGAAAGAGTTCAAAATTAGGAGTTGGAATTGAGTCAATCGTATTGGATCAGTTAAGCTATGTTCAAGCTAACAACTATATACAAGACTAAGTATGTATTGCTTTCCAAACCGACATTTTATTATACAAAACTAAGGCCTAAACACATTAAGGCAATGCCATGACTGCAAAAATAAATTAAAAAAGAAAAAAGCTGCCCATCCAAAAGCATCCTCCCCCATCTCTCCTTTTCTCCTTTTCATGGTGTTCTTGGAGCTGCATATAAGTGAACCACAAACTGTTAATTTGAATAATAATTATGGAACAAGATGAATTTCTTAATTAAAAACACTAATTTACCTGCCCCAATGGTATCTGAACCTTTCATCAAACGAATACGCTTGCAAGATTCAATAAATAATCTGCACATTTTGCAATACGATTAGAATGGAAAAGGTTGATTAATTAATTAGTTAGTTAGTTAGTTAATTAAACAAGATTAACAAAAATAATGATTATCAAACTTACTTCCATGGGACATCTCCAACTAACATCCAATCTCCGTCTTTATCTTCATAAGTTGGTAAGTATTCATCCCCTCTCTTCATTGGGTTCAAATTGTTCCCTTCTTCCAAGTAATCACCTAAAAACACACATATATCCATAAGTGTTAAATTTTCGAACTAAAAATTTTAGTTTAATGGTCAAAGCTCAAGCCCGCCACTAGTAGATATTGTCATTTTTTTCGTTTTCTCTTTCGGGGTTTTCCTCAAGATTTTTAAAACACGTATGCTAGCGAGAGATTTCCACACCCTTATAAAGAATGTTTCGTTGTCCTCTCCAACCGATATGGGATTTGACATGTTTGTACTATCATTCCATCATTGCCCATCTCAAAATACGACAATCATTCAATATAAAAATGTCGGTCGCATTGTATCGACCATACTAAGCAAGGAAGTGATTTTGCGTAACTCAATGGATAAGACACTTGTTATCGATCTAAGGACCATCAAATTGTTCAATCCCGACATGGCATGATAATAATAATGAAGAAGAGTTAGCAAGTTATGTACTCACAACATATGGGAAAGGAGGTGAACAATTCCTCAAATGCAATGAATAGGTCTTGATAGCCATTGAACATCTCAAGGTCGAGCTTACGCAGATACGGCGCCCCATCAGCCGCAACTTTGACATACTTGCACCTCATTTCTATTGTCTTTCTTCTGTATGATCTCACCGGCGGCCAACCCATTACCGCCCGCTTTTGCCCTACAAAACCAAATTATAACATTCCACGTCATACTCAAAAGTGTAAGTCCATAAGCTTTATATAATCTACGTTGAAACTTACCATCGCCAGAAGAGACGAGTTCTGGCTCGTTGCGACCGTCCCTCGGTTCACTTGTCGAGCTCCAGACACCACCATCGACCGTGTCATGGAAGCCACGCTTGGCGTTCAGTTTGTTTCCGGGAAGTCCCAAGGTGAGCTCAGTTTCGTCGAAGCTGATTTGGGTCATATCGGATTCCGGTGACTGTGGAACCGTCTCCGACGTCGACATTGGCGCACACTCCTTTGTCTGTTTCTGTATCTCTCTTTGGTTGTGAGTAATGAATTCATTGGTTTAGGGTTTTGCAGTTCATTTATAGAATTGAAGTTGGAAATAGAGAAGAGATGATTATTGTATGAGGAAAGGGACAAATGGGAAGAGGACACGTGGGGCATGGCTGCATAAGCCATTGGCCCACGTGGCTAAGTTCATTTGAGAGACAGAAATTGAGATTTGGATGGTGATTGTCGGTTCATTCAATCTAAAACCCTTTTTCGTCCTTGTTTTTCTTTTACGTAATTTTACATCAAAATTAATTCAACCTGTTTTTTCGCTGAATAATATTTATTTATTTATTTATTTATTTATTTTGATTAGTATTATCAAGAGAAAACTAATTAATTTTGTTAATTTATAATTGAAAGCCGCATGGAAATTAGAGGGCTATTTTTGTATTTTTTGGGCACAAAAATCGGAGATGGGGAGGGTAATTATGGGAATATGATTGGAGCAGTTGACGGAAGAGGATGACGTGGCGAAAAAGCAAGGAGTGGGACCCACAGAGTGTACCAAAAAGTCAATGGTTGAGTGATTTGACTGTGGAAGGTTTGGTTAGGGAGACAGAAACATGGAGAAGCTTTGGAGTTTGTCGATTCCTTGTCGCGTCGCTCTACGAACGATTCATCGTATCCTATTCCTCGCCTTTTCTTTTTCCCTTTATTTTTTAATTTGTCAAATTAAAACATTTTTTTTTAAAAAAATAAAAATTAAAAAAATATCATCAAAGCATATGATTTGCTAAAACCAGTGGCCGCACGCGGCTTCAAGAAAAATAATAATAACACGAATATATAAACATGCAATAATTCTCACCATTTTTTCTTTTATTATATATTTTTTTTATTATTTTAATGTATAGAATTGAAAGATGATAATAAGTGATTACCGAACAAATTAATCGTTATCATAGTAATATGATTCCACTGTGATACCTTTAATAATTTCGGATAATCTAATTGCATGCATTATTATTAAGATAACTACTTTATGTTTATAAAATTTAATTTTAAAATTAATTAATTAATATTTTTTGGAATCAATAATACTAATACAATAATTAAAGCTCTAAAGTAACAATAAATACTAATTTATTAGAACAGTATTAAATCTCCACACCACTCAATGTCATTTTTTTTTTTGTTTAAAAAAGGAAAAAAAAAGTCTTAAAACTAACTTAACTATATTAGGATGGAGTCATAGATAACCATAATTATTAAATTTGATGAGAGAGAGAGAGAGAGAGAGAGGGATGGTGCAAATACATTGCATTTAGCATTAAATTTGTATTTGTTGTAATTGTTAAGAAGCTTCACTGAATGTGGTTGCATCTTCACACACGCCCGCCCACTTAATTAATTATAATTAATTTAAGTTAATTGATGAATTAGTAGCAGAGTTCATGTACTTGGTTATGCTAATCAAGCACGTTGGATCCTAATCTTTACCCTCTTTTTACGCCTAATTTTCAAAATCTTCTTTTTTGTAATGCTTTATTATAAAGAAAAAATAAAGTTTTTTTTTTTTTTTTTTTTTTTTGTCAGAGATATTATAATTGAGGGGGTGGGTGCAATTATAAAACTATACTTTTTTTCTTTTATTTATTTATTTTTTTGTCCCAACAATGAGATCGTTGTCTGACAAATGGCTATAATTGTATATATATTTTAAAAATAATGATGGCGTAGGGTTGATTGAGGAAAAGGGGGTCGATAAATCTGTGTGTATAAAGGAGCAGCTAAATAATATGATTAAATTCCTAATCTTCCAACTCAGGTTTTTGGAGCTAATTCTATATTACAAACCCCTTTTGGTTCTTTTTTTTGTTAGTGTATAGCCTTTAAATTATTTAAATTAATTGGATTTTGTTGGTTATTGATGATGTATTATAAATATATTATATTAGTGATATATAAATGTAGACAATTATTAAACAATTTGTATATATCGACCGATTAAAAACATTTATTTTCGATTAAAAGCTTGTCAATTGAACTAGACAAAAAAAAAAAAAAAAAAAAAGATTTTGAAAATTATATGTTAGATGTTGATTGGACCACAAACAAGAAAGGGGGAAGATCTCTTTCTTCACTAGTAATTTCTCATCTAAATTACCGCTAGCAGATATTATTTGATTTAGTTTGTTACTGTTGTTATTAGTTTTCATAGTCTTAAAACATGTCTACTAGAGATTTCCACACCTTTTTTTACCGATATGAGACTTTACAATCTGCTTCCTTTAGAGCCAGCGACCCAGTATCTGGCTCCTCTCGAATGATCTGGAATTCCAAATTGAAACCAAAACTGATAGGTTAAAAAAAGAAGAGGGGAGGATGGGGGAGGAAAGCATGAAGGAAAACGGAAGGAACAAACAGAAGCAGGCAAAAGTGGCCAAACATACTGTCTAGCTGTTTGGCCATTGCATCACGTTATCTACTTTTAAGAAAAAAGGGAAAGGCGAAGGTAGGGCCATTGCAGAACGTGATGGGCGATGGCCTAGCTGGACCCGGCAAACCTGATGTAGGTCGTTGGTCCAGCTAACAAGCCAGGCTGCAAATATAGCAATAAAACTAGATATCACCGTATTCCCAATTCTCAATTCTCAGCAAGGCTGGCAAAGAATTAAGGAGCAATCAGTACTAAATAAATAATTGAATGAAGGAAATCACAAATATGCAAAACCCAGGAACAGTCAGCTGAGTGTTGTACCTAAGACCAAAACATTGGAGAGGTGTTATCTATATTCCTTTCTGTTGGGACAATGAAAGAATGACTAATTACATTGGGATTGCATGCTGTTTGTTTTGTTATCTTTTTCTTCCCAAGGAAAACATATTGCTTAGGGAATGGCTGAACAAAAATATACAAATATATATATATATCATATAAGTTATACGGGGATGTTTCAAATCCGAGAAAAACAGGACTCTACAACACATGAAACGAATGCACAGGGTGGGCAAATCAGGGACTCCAGCGAGGTAGATTCTTGAATTGACATTGTTTTCTTCTTTTTTTTCAAGAATTTGCGGCTGGAATCTGACCCACCATCCCGAAGTTTGCTGCACGCTTGGGCCTCCACTCAGTCCTTCCTTTAACAATATCAGCTCCATTTTCAAGTCGCAGGAGGTGCTGGCACTCAATGTCGCCAGCATCAGCCAAATTGCTGATACCAGCACCAGATACTGCAGTAAGAGATTGCAGCACACAGTCCCTTCCACATTCTCTCCTGTATTCCAAAGTTATGGTACAGAGTTCATGACTCTCAAGGATTGGCACGGGTGCACTCTGTGATTACCAAATCTTGTGGTCAGAGGCGATGGCAGATCTTTTAAGTTTTATATTTGGGAAAAGGAGAAACCACAAAAAAAAAAAAAAAAAAAAAAAAAAAAAAAAAAAAAAAAAAAAAAAAAAAAAAAAAAAAAAAAAAAAAAAAAAAAAAAAAAAAGTTCTGAAAAGAGAATTACCTCGAGTATCCAGCCAATGTACTTCACGTTATTAACATGCTGATTGATATCCAAATCACTCCATCTAGGCTGCAATTCGATAAACATGTTACTCACAAGAATGAAACGAGAAAGCCTCCACCTGATAAGTATTATTTAAGCATAACTTACCGTCAAACCTGTACGAATATGATCAGCACTATCATCATCAAGTTTTTGAAGTTTTCTGCCATCTTCTTCCACTATGGGAGGTGAATTTGCAAAATAAGACTCTATTTCGCTTCTAACTTCACCAGGAATCTTTGATAATTTTCTTGTCTGCTTATTCATCATCACACAAACACTGCCATTGGACGGGAAAAGAAGAACAATCCCAGTTATTAGAACTGCAGCAACTGACTTATAGCGGTAGAATAATTATCTGAATAGTTATCTGTACTCATCTTTTCTCTTTCCTTCTTTTTAGACGCAAACAACTACCAGGAGAATTGAGAAAAGGAAAGAATAAACAAGGATTACTTGCTGGCAAGGAAACCAATACCTTGAGGCCCTAGTAAGAGTTTCACCAGTTTTACAATCACGAACAAGCCAATCTCGTCGCATGCCATTCTTCCCAGATGTACAGACCCAAGTGTCTACTTGAACAACATCACCCCTGCAAAAATGAAAAACAAAAGGATTCAATTCTTCAACCTTTGTTTTGTCAGCCACTTAAATATCCTCGAGCTTTAATTTGTAAATAATAATTCCCAAGAATTATTTAACCACACAGAATGAACCATAAACCATGGGAGGTGAAGTTTTCCAGATACCAGATAACGCAATTCTTTTTTTCTTCTCGTTTTTGATGTATTATAACGCATCTAATTTTAAAATTAGGGATGCAGTGGTAACATAGACAACCTAAAAGGCATAAATAGGCTGGTGCCCACATATCCTGAAAATATGAAAAGCTGTGAAAGTCAAGACATCTGAACCACTCATCTTACATGATCAATAGAAAGGTAGAGATGAATAAACGTCAGAAGTCACTAATTATTTTCCTTTCAAGGATATATATAAAAGAAACCTATGGCGACTTACCAAGTAGGGTATCTATCTACCATAATCTGCATCTTTGCAACTACCCATATCAAGTTTTTTTTACACATTTCTGGTGTTGAGCCAAATCCATCACCTAGTAGTCCAGCAGTTTTTACATGATTAAGTGCAGTTTCCTGTAGTAAAGAAGATGTCATCTTACTGTTTCCAACAAATGAAAGAATAGAAGAATTAACAACCTATTATGCATTCAACACGCAACTAAAAAAGTTTAAATCTACCACAGATATACACTATAATAATCAATATCCAACAAGAAAACAACTACATGATTAATCATGTACCTGAAAATGATTCATTAATGTTTCGATAGATGCAGTCCGATCTGCACCAATTTCATATGATCTAATTGAAAAATTCTGCCGATACACAAGGCCATCCTGAACAATTCTTCCCAAACCAAATGGATCAATAAGCATGTCAGGCCGCCTAGGTTTCCAGTCAAGCA